AAACCTAATCAAATCCTCCTGTATGAGAAAAGAACAAAAGTTTATAACACCATTATTAAACAACTTTGAAACAAACGGGTGTGACAGATATAGGGCATAAAGACATCATGCCTGGCCTCGTGCCCAGAAATCTTAGGACAGTGAGCGATACCAAGGTGTCATTGTGGTCAAAACTTGCCATGCTAAAGAAATAATTGCTTTTTCTTGTCAGGGACCTTCATGCAGATCACCTGCTTTTTATTTTGGCACTGAACTTGCACTGTCCTGTGTATCTGTTATGTTGAGAAACAGCAAGATTCTCAGCCATGTTTAGCACCAGGCTTATAAGGAACCCTCTACTGGTTTTTTTCTGATTGCTTTTTTTGTTGTCTTAGGTAAAAGCCTCCTCTGTTAGTGAAGGGAACTAGACAAACACAAAATAAAGAGAATCAACAAGTTCTAAAACAGATTCTTTAGGAAAAGTGAGACTTGAGCTTCCTTTCATGGGTAGTTCAAAGCATATTTGGGGCTGACCTGCACAAAAGACATTCTCAGGAAATGCTGAAAGATTCTATCTTCACATACTATATATCCATACTCCTGAAATGCACCTAGTTCTTCCACAGTTTCCCAGATGAAAAAATAGAATTAATTTAGAATGGATGATCAGGGGACCAGAGATGACGCTTGAAAGAAGTATAATTTCAAACTGAGAGAGAAAATGTAGAAAGGAAATTATAATTTCCTCAGTCCAACAAACAAGAGAGACGATGCCTAGAAAAGGCTTTGCTTTGTTTACATAGAGACTAAAGGACATGATACAGCCTACTCAGTTTCTGTGCCAGCTTAATTTCAACTGATGAATTATAAAAATGTGTTAATCATGAGAAATTCTGGGAAGAATCTGATCTGGCAAAATGTAATTTCCCAACAGTTTAACCCCAGTACTACTCTGTTGATTCCATTATGTCGCCCCAGATTTACCTTTGACACAAAGCATAGGATAATGGATGTCTTATATTAAGTGGGATGTTTCATTTTTAATGAAGAGAGGTTGCTTGTTGCTTGAGAATTGCAACTGTATTTATCCTCCAGGGTATTGCACTGAAGTCAGCAGAAAAATAAAGACCATCCTATACATTTGTAAAACTTGCTTCATATTTAAAAAGTGAAACTAATACCAGTCCTATTGCATCACTATTAATTAAATGAATTACATTTTCTTTTCTCATTCACATGTTGTACATTGCTTGTCTTTTTAAATTATATATTTTTGTGATAGATATATGTATTCATGTAAAAAGTATCACAAAGCACCCCTCTGTGGAGGTCCTGTGGGCTGCTTGGAGTGCTTGAGAAAAGCAGCTCATGCAAACATGGAACAGTGTCTCAAAGACCACCAGATAATGAGGGAAATTTAGTTTTCCCATGTTCCTTCCCATTCCTGCTCATGTGCACCCATCCTGTTGTGTTTGTTTATCTCACTCTTGCCATTTCTGGTGAGATACTACAAGCAGTCACACATGGTAGGAAGAACCCAGGAAGAACCATCAGCAGCATTTTCCTCATCATATAAACAGAGTGTAGCTCTTGTTTTCAGGTAAGAAAGGATAATGGACCTCATGCAGTAGCATTATTTTCACTATATCTTGTATGCTGATTATCACAGGACCTCGGGCCTGTTAGACCTGGAATGAAGACTCAGGAAAAAAAAAATAAATCACAACAAAACAGGAAAGAGTTGAGGAGGAGTTGTATTATTTTCAGGGTATTATAGTTTTATCTATTAAGATTTACCTCTTAGTCAGCCCTGTGCCTGTGTTCTTACATGGGAAGAAAGGGAACTCAGCATCAAAGTAACGTACTGCCAAGCCACCAAAACTTTTGAATCGTCTTACAAGACTGCACAAAAAAAAACCCAAAAAGAACAGTGTACAAACATGCCTGTGAGGTTTAAATTACCACAGTGCAACCAGAGTGTATGTAGCTACATATCTGTAAAGATTGCCTTGGTACCATATCTATAAATCCTCACAAATCCATTTCTGCAGGGGCAAAGGTCATTTTTGAAGGAGAATTTTATACTATGTTACAGAAAATTCATGTTCTGTTGTCATAAAAGTTTCAGGTTCGTTCTCAGTCTTGCTATTTTCCCTTAAATTGAGTTTAGATTGAAAACTACTGTGTTCTCCAACTGTGAGAAATATAATAGCCCTCGGTGACTGCTTGGCTGTACAACGTAACCAAGAGCATAATCTGTTCACTAGCTCTTATTTGCAAGTTTCAATTAACAGTCAAAATGCTCAGTTTCTATTAGGAACTCACAAAATCTCACTTTTTTGATGAACTACATTGTAAGTAATTTTTTCAGAATCAAGGTGAGGTAAAGAAAAACTTATTTCCTAAAAAACTCTTGTGTCTTGACTCTTCAGACCCCTAGCACAGTTCATATTACTAAAGCAAAAGCTGCCTCTCTCACTGATATTTTTGGGGATAAGAATATGTAATCAAAATGTATAATCCTGTTCAAGAAAATTTGCTTTGTTGAATAAATAAAATAAAATAAAATAAAAACAACTCTAATTTGTGCCTAAATTCAAAATATTTATCTGTTTGATGTAAGCCTATATTTACCTGGCATCTTACCCTACCACAGAATTTTCTCCCTGTTTCTTGGACAATCAGACAGGGATATCCTTTTCCAACAGGTAACATTACAAAGCAGATCTGTATCACCTCCTTAATCTAGCAGATGTCAAATTCCCTATAAAGGAAGCTTGAAGTTCTATGTACGTTTGCTAGAAATGACCACAAACTTGGAGGAGTTGTCACTGCTTCCAGGTTAAAACACAGAAAATCAGATGTGTATTTCATTAAAGCAGTCAACAGAGAAGATGAAGAAATCTAAATCAATCACCAGGTGCTCATGACAGGTCTTCCTTGTGTGACAGCATAAGCACTTTGGTTAAGCTCAGAAGAGCTCTTCTGAAGTCATTGTCTCTACTTGGTTCACAGGATGAACTGTACTTGCACCTTGTGAAGATGATTTCTTTAGCTAAAATAAGCCAGAAAGGATGCTCCACAAGCAAACATAAAATCTCCTGCTGCTTATTAAGTCTATGGAATGAAACTAGGAAAACTACAAAATAATAAATAAATAAATTTTTAAAAGGTGTGGTATTGCTATCCTGTTAGATTTATGTATTTATTTTACCATGAGAGGTAATAGGGAATCTAAATATCCTCAGAGATACTCAACTGTACAAATACTTAACAATCTAATTGAGGCAGACCTGCTTTGAGCAGGATTTTGAACTAGGTGACCTCCAGAGTGCCCCTCAGATCTAAATATCCTGGTTGCAGTGTTATGAGGTGGACTTTAGTATAAGAGTGACTGGCAAGGAGGACTGTAAATATGCTCAAGTGATTCTGTAGTTGGAAATAACCCCTGATAAACAAGTGTGAGCAGCGGGCTGGTAATCCTCTGGCATGGACTGAGTTCAACAGCATGTGCATCTCTGCCTGTGTGCCTCTGCCCTGGAATTGCTTCAGGCATACCCCAGTAGTGAGGTAAAGGAAATAAATTTACTACTTGTGCTTTAGCCATGGGTTTGTGGTTGTCCCAGCTGCTTGCCTCTGCCAAAATACATGATAAGTAGTGTAAAAATTTTAGATACAGAAAATTATTAGGGTGTAGTAAAGGTCAAGACAGATGGAAGATAGAAATTTGAGAAGCCAATACAAGAGAATGTCAAAGAAATAATTAGGAACAGCAGTACATTACACTTTTTATTAAATTAGCATCCAAATTTTCCTGGACTTATGCCAAGATGAAATGTTTCAAAAATTTGAAGTCTGTCCTTTCTCACCTTAAACCTTAGAAGACCAATTTGTAAAATACTAGTCAATCTTTATTAATATCTATTATTATTATGGAAGCAAAATCTGTTTTAGAACAGCAAATAGTATCCTTCTTGGTGATATTTTAAAAGACACTTCTAATTACAACAAAATTCAACATACTCAAAGCTGTTCATTGACTTTGTTGTGCCCTCACTTAAGCCAATATACCTGATGTCCTATGACTCCACCTACAGTGTGAATACATTTATTTGAAAATCAGCTAATTCTTCATTAATATAAAACATAGAAAACAGTACTTATGAAGGGCAGCTGAGAGAGCTGAGTTTGTTTAACCTGGAGAAAAGGAGGCTCAGAGAGGAGACCTTATCACTCTCTACAGCTTCCTGAAAGGAGGCTGTGGCCAAGCAGGTGTCAGTCTCTGCACAAGTAACAAGCAGTAAGACAAGAGGAAATAATCTAAAGTTGTGCCAAGGGAGGTTTAGTTTGGATATTAGGAAAAATTTCTTCACCAAACATGTTGTCAAGCATTGGAACAGTTTGCCCAGGGAAGTGATTGAGTCACCAGCCCTGAAGGTATTTAAAAGACATGTGGACCTGGGCCTTAGGGACATGGTTTAGTGGCAGACCTGGAGGTGTTGGACCTGATCTGAAGGGTCTTTTGAAACATAAATTATTCTATAGTTCTGTACAGTTTCATTTGACAGAAAGATTTTTAACACCTCATTAACATAAACCGTGCCAAATGTTCCTGGTAATCTCAGAGAAAATAGATAATAATTTTATCATAAATATTAACTGATATCATTTATTATTTCTTGGGAGTATCCAACATTTTTGTGGTATGGAAATGTAATAGCACCTGTCCTGACAAAAGAGAAGTTATCCAAAAACAAATCTGATAATAATTTGGTAAGGAAATATATAGTGCTTTTGACATACTAATATCAAGTAATTCTTACAACATTAAAATTAAATGAAGTTAAATTAAATAAGAGAACAGGTTAATTAATCTTTGGTGTGCAATTGTGAAATTTCACAAAGCATCCAACCAGCCAAAAACATCGAGACTGAACTCTCATGTTACACAGATGCTCAGCTGAAGTCGAATGTATGTAATAGATTCAGCCTTAATTAGTAACTGCACAAATGATCACAGAAGGAGACAGAGCTTCAGACACCCAGATCTGCAGGAAGAAAATGAGGGTAAGGAAAATATCACCTGACTGTTTCCATCATGAAAATGTTATGTAATGCACTTTATTTCTTTATGCCACTGGTTATTTTCTAATTGAAAAGGTTTTTCTTCATTTTGAAGTACTTAAAATTCTTTTCTGGGGTCCTTTCTTTTGTAAAACTTGCCTTTGTAAAAATCTTCAAGCCTGTTCATAATATTCAGTGTTAATGCACATTTAAATTAGAAGCTTGTGTACTCCTTCTCTACTTTAATGTGACAAAAGTTCTTTGCTGCAATTCAAGTCCATCTCATCTCTGCAACAGATGTGGTTTATATAGGTTAGAAATCCAAAATGTAGTTAAGCACAAAAAGATGTAAAAGTGTTTATGGATGTAATGAAAACCCCATATTCCTGAAAGAAGTGACTTACTTTATTAGAAGAACTGTGGGCATATTGAGTATGAAGTGGTGTTTCCATGTTTTTTGTTTGTCTCCACCTTTTCCATATCATTCATGTCCCTCAGTGTATGGCTGCCTGTTAACACAGCACAGAATCTATGTTACCAACCTTAACTACAAAGGTATTGACAGAGTATGTAACTACACAGACAAAGGTGATGTTTTGTATTTGGAAAAAAAAAATTGCCAGAATTTCAATGGGGAGCTCCTTTACAAGCGTTTCCAAGACATAGGAGTTACACTAAGAGGATAGAAAAAGGAGCTCTGGTTCAAAGGAAATTATTATCTGAGCAAGAAAATAAAGCTATGGAAAGGCCTTCTGCAGCCAGATGCACAGGTACATTTGTGCTCAGCCTGCCAGGTTACTGCTGATCAAATTCTCACTGGAAGTTTTAGAAACTGAAAGAATTGAAGAAGGCCCAGTCTTGTGGTATTGCAACAGGTAGTACAAAAGCAAACTTTCAAAGGATGTTTCCAAGGAGGTCCCTAGCACAAATAGAATTAATGTGCTTCCTTCCATGCAAAAACAGAAGCTACTACAGACACCTGTATCCTGGGAACAGAACAGTGGCAAAAGGGAAAGAAGGCTCTGAAACACTAATTTACTTTTTTTTAAAAAAAAAAACAAAAAAAACAACAAAAACATGAGTTTACCTTTTAAACTCATCCCCACCGCCCAACTGCAATATCAAAATGTTGTCTTTCAGCTTAACTCTTGGAAGAAGATTTTTTGGAAGAAAGTCTCAAACAAACACAATCACAGCCTGGGCAAGGAGACTCACAGAGTAAAAGGCTGGATTTTTCTCACATTCAATGGCACAAAATTAGGAAAGGAGCAGCAACCAAAGTAACTGGCTCTTCCTCTGTCTTAATGGTTTTAATGAACAGCCAGGAAACATTTTTCTCACACACCAGCTCAAAGTGCTGTTTTGTGACACATAGATGTTAATTCTTACTTTGATGGGATAAGTACATAAAGCAGCTGTTTTAGAAAAATTTTTATTGCCTGATTTTTTACTCTTCATATTAATATTTTTTAAGAAATTTTTACTTCAACACTTATTTACTGTTCTATTTTCATCATAATTTTGTGAAGCACTAAAACATCACTAAACACACCAACCCTTTCTTGCATATCAACCAAAAATTAATAAAAACATGCCAAAGGCAACTGCTTTTTAACTTCCATCCAGTTTCTCATTACAATTCCCCTTCTCATCTCTCCCTTCATTTGGATGTTTGGATCAGAGAGAGACTTGCTCCAAGGCTTACTTCATAGGTAACAGGCACTTGTTCATTTTAATGACTGTCACTTTCTCAACATGAATACAACAAAGGTTTTACTCTTTAATTCAAATAATGGTCCAAGCATTATGAAAATAAGTTACATGTGAAGTATTTCATGCTGGGCATGTAATGGACTTGAGAACAGCAATTGTTTTCAGTCCTGCTCACAATTTCTTCTGGCTGTCTGTTGGAAGATGAGATAGTCAGGGAGCACATGGTCATCTAGTGAAAAGTGCAGATGAAAATGCAGAAGTGCTAGGCCTGGATACAGCTAAAACCAACATTTTTTGGCATTTCTCACAAAACTAGAACTTCTTGGGCCTGTGGCAAAACCAAAGCCTCAGTGAAATCAACATCCCTGTCAGTTCTACTTTGAGTAGTTTCTCCAGATTCTTAAGGCTCTGGGGACTTCCCAACTTTCATAGTCTTTCCTCTGTCACAGACCCTTCTGGCTCAGTTATCAAAACCCAGAGCTTCTGGTTTGCCTCATCAGATAGCATCTCATCAAAGATCAAATTTAGACTAACATTACATTCAAAGTTTGTTTGAATGGCATCTATTGCCCTCTCAGTGTTACCAGTGTAAGATAGCATCTCATCAAAGATCAAATTTAGACTAACATTACATTCAAAGTGCATCTATTGCCCTCTCAGTGTTTCCAGTGTGTATTTGTCATAGCCTGTATTTGTACTTGCATTAGGAGGTAGAATTAAGGGGGGAAAAGGCTTAGTTTTAACATTCACCACTGCATAATACCTGTAGTGTCACAAAATGCTAGCTTAACATCAGCAAACACATGTAAAATGCCACTGAATATTCTTGTTCTGCTATTATGGGATACTGTTATGCTAGCAATGACCTTTCACGGTTTAGTATCAAATTAGTGTGGTGTTCTGGGAGCTGAATCACTGCCTGAGATTTGGAACCTAATAGCAAAATTATGGAAGTCAAATAATCCTGAGCTTCCATCCTGGATTAACTGCAAGAAGCCAAATGTGCTCCCTGTTTTCATCCAAAAAACTGCTGTAGTTGGGACTGACAGTTTCACTCACCACTGTTACAGTCAGGGAGCTAGCCAGTTCCTTGGGAAGTAGTTTGGCATTTCTTGCAAAAAAAGCTGGATTTTGACGTATCCCTTAGCCCAGTCTTCCAGGATGAGATTGTCCCAAGGCTTCCACTATCAAAGTGCCAGTGCCAGTGGCCCATGCCAGGTTCTCACTGTCCAACCAAACATCACATTGGAACAGTACCCCAACCTGTCCTCAGCAGAGCGTAGAGACAGGGCTTACACCCTGCCCCTAGGGCTTAGCTTGCTAGCAACCCAGCATCAGTAGGGAAAAAAAATTGAACCAAAGATTCACAGCTGTGGTAAGGATTCTCCTCAAGGTCTCTTATTTCCCCCACTTTTTTTTTTTTCGCTTTGTCTTGAGAGCTACCAATTTTTTAATTCTCCCTCGCAAGACAGCAAGCAAGTTATATTTGAAAAAAATCATGGGGGAAGAAAACACCTAATCAAACATAATTCTTGGATAAAGAGTTGACCTGTGAATATGTTAAGAACAAGAGCAAAGAAAGTGGAATAGCTGTCTGTATTTTGCCCAGCTTTTAACCAAACAAGTTATCAAGCAAGGTTTTGACAGCATCTAAAAGAAGAGACATTTGAGGCACCACCAAATCTGAACAAATTATGATCATAAAAATGTAGCTTTGCATGCAGAGCAGGGCAGACAATCACCTGAGCAAGAATGTTGCAGCTTTATTAACAGAAATTCACTTTTTATCACCCATTGCACACCACCAAATTTCACTGTAAACAACTCTGAAAGGCACGTTTAATTTCATTACTAGTTTCATTTCATGTTCCTTATAAGTTCAGGTACAAAGATTATCAAGAAATGTAATGCACAACCTCATCTTTTTCATATCATTACAGTTGTTTTTCTCAGTTTCACCTTGAGTTCTACAGTTCTATGCATTCTATTTCTCCTTGTCAAGATATTTTCTAAGGGCTAAAGCCAGACAGCAGAGAGGAGACATAAAGCATGAAGAAAATTATAGGTTATTTTTATCTGGTCTCTCTGATGACTAAAATATGATCTCTACAGAAGTGACATAATTTTTTGATGTCACAGAACCATCCCTTTATTCCCACTGTGTTTCACTGTTTATTTTCAGTGAGTTGAGGAGGTTTGTACTCTGTGTATCTGGATAAAACTCTCAAGCTGCTTGTACACTCATATTTTACAAGAATCACTGCTGGAAGACCCTGCAGCTGGCATGTTTTGCAGGTATTTATTGAAATTTCTCTCTATTAACCCTTCTAAATAGACTTGATGAAACCAGCAGACATAATGCATAAAATTTTATAAATTTAAAATATTTTCCATTATTATTTCAACCCATTTGTTATGCCACCTTATCCCTGCCCAAATGGTTGATGCATCTCTGGCACAAATTCTGATCAGGGGTGCTTGTCCCACTGTGCTATTCTTCCATTTTCCCCCAGCAAGGCCATGCAGAACACTGTGTCCCAGAGAACAGCCCCATCCTGCAGATGGCCACACTTCCCCATGGCAGTGGGGAGCCTCAGGATTAGAGAGGGGGATTTCAAGGCAATGTAGAGATAGGATGTTGCTCTTTTATCAGTCTTAAACGAGAAATAACCCTATATCTGAAAGTGACACCCAAGGAAGCAGAGAAAATAAGGTGAGTCTTTCTATGCAGCCTCATCATGCAAAATTAGCAAGAATGTGTGAAGAGGATGGGACTTCCCAAGCCTAAACCAGGAAGAGCTGCTAGAGCTGACCCGGGCAGCTGTTCCAAATGGGTGGTTTGGTCACTTAAAGAACCACGGTGAAAAGATCATGGCAAAATCAAGCTTTAATATGAATTTGTGAAAATACCACTTTACAGATTTCAATGGCAAGGTTTTACTCTATTACTTACTACACAAGGTAAAGCATACAAAGGAAGATCAAATTAGAAGCAGTTTGGAATGATTTACATGGATGCCAGGAATGTAAAGTGGAGTAAGGATGCAAAGGATATGGATGTTCCACACCTGGGTTAGACATCCAATATTTCTGATTATTGCCACCTCTACCATGCAAGGTCTCCTGCTATGATCAGGGAGTGGGTGCCTCACAGCTCAGCTGGTAAGGTCCAAGAATGCTCCACTGCTCAAACAGTTTGGTCAAGGCTTAGCAGGAGCTTCTGTGATCAGACCCAAGGAGAATCCCATGCACAGGTGTGGAATGTGAGGTGTGGAATATGGTCATTGCTTGCTGGAGAAGCTTGGAGAGAAAGACGCATGCAGTGAGCAGTCATGTGCATGCCCAGAGGCTGTCAGAACCTACAGCTGGAAATCTGGTTTCTCATGTTGCCTTCTAGCTTTTCCTTTTATTATTTCTTGCCTAGAGCCTAATTTCTTCTTTTTCCTTCCTGATTTTCATTTTTCCTGCTTTTCTGGTCTTGACCCTTTGTTTACTAGGTTTCTACTCTTTCTTGAAACTGAAAAATCATACCCTGCAATTTCTCTCGGCCTTTCTTTTCAGCAATTCTCATCTTCCTTACAGATACAACAGACAAGACCTGAGCATCTCTTTTTCAATGTAGGGTCTGAAAATCATATTTTTCTATGAAAAATATTTTTCAAAACATTCAGTAGTGTAGAAATGTGAGCATTTCAAAGCTGGAAGGACATGTAAAGCAAATACATGAGCTCTGAAATTCTCAATCACTGCTTGCATTTTAATGTTTCATGATCTGCAGTATCATGCACAGTATTTTTAAAGTTGTGTGTAATGAAGGTGACCTTTTCACTTCTCAGAAGAAAACCCTAAATAATTAATTATCTGTCTGGTGCTAACATCAATAAACATAGTTATAATTTCTCGAGGTTTCTGACAGCAGTGGGGGAAAACATCACATTTGGGTCTCATGAACTTTGCTGAAGCTGGCGTTCTTTGGATTTACAGTGCTCTCTTCTGGCCAGATCAGGCCTCTACAAGACAATAATTTTATACCCCAAGATCTGTAGGATTTTTGGCCAATACAGTCATTCTCAAGCTGTCACAAAATATTACAAATGTCAAAATCTGCCAAAAAAGTTGTTTTAGAGAAGTGTTTTCCCTCTTCTCCACCACCGCCCCCCCACCCCCCGGGAAAATTACTTAAGTTGTTAATTTATCAAAAACAGCCTCTAATTACCTAATTACCTGAAAATCATGTAGAGGAAAGAAAAAGATTACTTCTGACACCGAAAGAATAATTTAATATTACCTTCTCTTTAACCAATATTAATTTTTATCATGTATTTTTTAAGTCTATCATTCACAGGTTTTCACAGTATTACAGCACAGTTTGAGATGGTCCAATTAAAGTCCAATCCAATTGGGCCTTGAACACTTTCAGGGATGGGGCATCCACAATGTCTCCAAGAAACCTGTTTCAGTGTCTCACCATCTTCACAGTAAAAAATTTCTTTCTTGTGTCCAGCCTAAGCCTACCTTCTTTTAGTTCAAAGCCATTATCCCGTATCCTGTCACTCAGTGTCCTTGTATAAAGTCCTTCTCCATCTTTCTTGTAGTACCTTTAGGGGCTGGAAGGCTGCTATAAGGTCTTCCTGGAACCTTCTCTACTTCAATCTAAATAATCCCAAGTTTCTTAGCCTGGTTTCACAGGAGAACTGCTCCAGCCCTCCAATCATTTTCATGGCTCTGAGTCCCCTCAGGATCCACAGATGTGTTTCATCGGATCCCATGGACTTCAGGCTCCTTACCTTGTCTCAAACCTGATGTCCTACAATGGAACCCAATACATTCTCCCAGTCTCTGCCTTTATCTTTTGTGATTTGTACAATGTGGCTGGAGCACTTGTTGGTGAAGACTGAGGCAAAGAAGTCTTGGAGTACCTCAGCCTTCTCCATATGCCAGGTAACCAAATCTCATATTTCCTTTTGGAGAGGGACCACATTTTTCCTAGTCTTCTGTTTTTCGCCAACATAGCTACAGAAGCTTTTCTTGTTGCACTCAATATTCCGGGCCAAATTTATCTCTAGCAGGGCTTTAACTTTCCTAACATGATTCTTGGCTGCTAGGACAATTCATTTTCATTCCTCCCAGGCTACCAGAACTTGCTTCTATCCCCTGTAGGCTTCTTTTTTTTTGCCTGAGTTTGTCCTGGAGCTCCTTTTTCATCTACACAGGACTCCTGGCATTTTTCCTGACTTCTTCATTAGGATGCATACTCATGAGCTCAAAGATGAACCTTGAATATCATCCAGCTTTCTTGAGTTCCTCTTCCAGCCAGGGCTTAATGCTATGATACTCTACCAGGCAGATCCCTGAAGAGGCCAAAGTATGCTTTCCTGAAGTCCAGGTTATATCACCTGGTCTCTCACTTTTCAGATATATCACTGTCTCCTTGGGAATTATTAAAATTATTACTATTAAAAAACCCCAAAACCTAGAACAGAGGAAAATCATTCATCCTGCCAGTGTGTGCTCAGCCCAGACTTACCCCCATGCTTCTCCATTTCAAGGAGGTTTCCAGACCTGCATTTCCTCGAGCAGTGAGGTGGGATACAAGAGTGCACGCGAGGCAGGCCCAGCAGGGCTGGAGGCAGATTGGTGCCACAGAACCACCCTCTGGTGACACTCATGTCCCCGTGGTGAGGCACAGCAGGGCTGGGCTCCACCCTGCAGTTGAGGCTGCTGTCATCCCCTTCACAGAACCATCCAGCTCTTCACAGTGCTCCCCTTTGGAGTTGTCTGACTAATTCAATTAATTAATTAATTAAAACGCTTTCATTAATTCACATGCAGAGAAAGGTGGGCAATAAACTGCCATTGTGCTTAAGAACACACCCAAATCAAATGAATTGGCGGGAAATACTTTCTCTTGTCCTCTGTCATGGGGCAATGCCTTTAGGAAGAAAATGCTTCAGCCTGCAAAAGAGTGGTATCTCACCTGGTCTTCACTTCTGCCTAACTAAATATACACCATAAAATCTTCCACTTGTACATAACACTAGCAAGGGTGCTTCAAGTTCTCAAATTCTTTTAAATTTGTTGACTCACAAACATTCACGGGGAAGAGACAAAATATTATTGGTGATATTCAATTATTCATTTGAATAGTGAAATTATTTAAATATAGAGTCATAACTCAAGAAGAATCTCTCAATTAGACTGTAACAATTTTGTATTTACCAAATTCAATATCATCCATAAGCTAGGAAAAAGTATACACAGGGAAATAATGAAGGAAACTCAGAATCAAGAGGAGAAAAAACTGAACTGAACACCTAGTTATTACTAAGTGGCATCTCTCACTGATTTGGTAATTCTGCTTTAAAAATATCTAATTTTATTTCACTGGTTTTATTACTGCTGTAAAGATAATTGCTCAAAGGAAACATAAAATGCAGTATTTCAAATGCAATATTTAAGCCTGCTTCAAATCCAGCTTTCAAAGAGAAAATTCAAGGACAAATTTTTTTGTGTTCCTCATGTTGTTCTCTTCATGCTAAATTTGGATTGTCCTCCAAATATTTCAGAGTTTGTATATAACCTTGATATTCTTCCTGTCTCTTACTGTATAGGTAATTTTTAGCATGACTGTTGAATAGTTGGTGAATAATTACCTTGGAAAAGAAAGAAACAGAAAACTAACCCATAAGAAGATTTTCATTTTTAAAGATACTAGTCAAATTTCTGAATATAAAACAGAAGATAAGAGTTAAAATTCTTCCTTGAGATGATTATGCCTTTGGAGTACCAAACTCCCACTTTTAAAGAGCAGATATACTTGCTTTAACCTTCTATCAGCTTGCATAATTAAAAAACATGCTACAGAATGTTAAGTGAAGAACATAAAACTATTTTGTTTAATAATTTATTGGTCAGCATTTCATAGCATCATTAAAATATTTCTTGCTATGTTACATGCTAAATATGTTCACATGTATTAGGTAACTTCAAACATCTTGAAATCTGAAGAAATAATTCTTAATTTAATGAGAATTATGCACATAAACACCAGAAAGTGGTTGGATGAAGCAGTTGGGTTTTTTCCTCTTAATCTCCTTATTTTTCAAGCTTCTGGAAAGCCATAATTCATTTTTATCACAAAGACACAAGAATTATGCAATCACTTTTTATGTATATATATCACATATGAGTTTGCATATCCTGTAATTTTTCTTATAGTATGCACAATTAAATTTGACAGACAGAACAAGTCGTAGTGTGGCCAGTTTCGCCAATTTACAGAGAAAATAAGTCAT